TTTGGCGCGCCCCTACCATGCCCCCTCCGTAGTCCCTACCGTGCCCCCTTCGCAGGCTCCTACAATGCCGTGCAACGCCGTGCCCCATCCCCCGCCGCGCTGCCTTCTTCGCATCCCTGGACAACTGCTCCTCCGTCAAGGTCCGCACCAAGTCCCGTCGTGTCCCCGTCTACTAGCCAACGTCGCCATTGCAACATGTGCAACACCCGATCTACTTTTGAAACATCTAGATGAAACCTTTGTAACATACGTCTGAAGACAGATGAAACAGTTGAAACATGCATCTGAAACACTTACAAAAACACCTGAAAAATATTTGAAAAGCCATTGCAAAACATATGCAACATCTAGATAAAACACTTCCAACATTTATGTTCAACATATACAACATCCAAATAAGCACACTTACAACATACATTTGAAAAACAGATGAAACATTTGGAGCAGACAAATACAACATATGTGTATAGGCACTGCCATAAATGCAACATCATGATTTATTTTTGCAACATCCATATGAAACACTTGCAACATACCTCTGAAACATATGCTTGCAACATGTTAGGCGTGCACACTGGCGCGATGACCACCATGTCAGGTGTGTTGAGGAACTCAATAACTGCCTCGATAGGCAGATCGGGGCTTGGGAGGCGGCGGAGCGAAGAGCACCACAGGCTTGGCTGTCGTGAGCTTCTTTCGCACGGGCACTAGGGCATGAGGAGCCTCGAGGTGGGCGCGAAGTACGACACGGCCACAATGCCCTCGCCGTCTCTAGCAGTAGGAGGAGGTGATGAGGAGGACACCGGTGTTGGCACTGGCGATGAGGGCGGGGGTGGGCGGGAGGTGCGACTCCAGTGGCAGAGCCTAACATTGCGAAGGTAGGCGAGGGCCCCGGGGGAAGTAAGTGGAGTTGATTGCCCCGGGCACCGACGGAATGGGAGCGGACCTGCTGGTGGCTGTTGTGTGGGAGTGAAGAATTTTTTAGAGAGATGGGGCCAGTCGGCTGCACAGGCGTGGGAGGCGAGTCCGGACGAGACGGACACCCGTGGCTAAGAATTTTCGTATATTTAAAGGATGGGGATACATACACCGGTTTGGAGGCAAAACTCTTACAAACAAGTGTCAAATTATTGTAACGCTAGGATCCTCCGGTTTGATGAGCTGAATAATATCCATTGTCATAATTTTTTGCATCTAAATTCAAATTGGTTGATTCAGAGATGAATTTTAGTTATCTCAGCAAGAGCTATGCACTATGGAATCAAGAAGTACAGTATGGAATTTTACTCCATATCCAAAACCCGACCCTCTCATTTTCTAGAAATGACCGATGCTACAAAATTTAGTTGCCACTGTATTGAGCCGTATGCACCGGTCGGTTTAGCCCAAAAGTTTAAGTTGTTAGAAAAATATAACATTTCCATTATACTTAGTCTTTCACTTACGTGTAGGCTGCCTCATACCTCAAAAGTGGAAATATGAGTCTGCCTCAGGCCTCAAAAGTGGAAATATGAGTCGACTGCGACTATTTTATTTAATTATGATGTTAGGATTTAAACTCAACACCATGATTTTGATACCATATTGAGTTGGATTAACCGATCAATTCAGCCCAAAAGTTTGAAGACGAGTTGAGACTAGCAGAGGACATACAATGGGTGGGTGGTGTTAAAAAAAAAAGATCCTACCTATATGTGGTACCATATTGAGTTGTATGCACTCGTCTGTTCAACCCAAAAAACTTATCTCACATTATATTGCAGACTAGAGGAGTACCTTAACTGATGGCTAGCTGCAAGCACAAAAACAAGGCACATGATAAGACGACGGGCAATATATAGACCTATACAAAGTCAGACAAGCTACGAAGAATAGAGTGTCCTGTCCGAGAGTCCACCGCTTGAACGAGTGCTCGACCGGTCCGAGATACGACCGGGTGATGAGGTGGGATCTCGTACACTGCCTCTTGCTGTATTCCTTGTGTTGGAAGTGACAAAAGAGCGTGTCCCTTGGGTGCCACTCTTCACTGACGAGCCCGAGGAGTGCGCCGTCCAATCACTAGTCGACGAGTGGCCTGCAGGAGTGTTTTCACTCACGGATGAAGATGTGGTGCTCGACCGGTAACCTCTAGAAACAGGTGGTCCGTACGTCGCCACGGGCATCTCTAGCGGGAGCTCTGGCAAAGAAGCCTCAAACTGCAGCACGTTCATAGCCTGCCGGATGGAAGCCCTGGACGCGCGGTCTGGATGCATGCACCACAGCCCCACGACCAGCGTCCGCTCCATCTCCGGCACGTCGAACTCGCCGGCGTCGTGCAGCCGCGCGTCCGCGGCGTCGAGGAGCTCGCCTCTCCCGTACATGTCCCAGACCCAGTGCACGAGCAACACCTTGTCCTCGTCCTCCTGCGGGACGACGGGCTTCCTACCGCAGGCGATCTCGAGGAGGACGACGCCGAAGCTGTAGACATCGGACTGGGCGCTCGCGCGGCTGGTCACCACGCACTCCGGGTCTATGTACCCCTTGGTGCCGGCGAGCATCGTGGTGTGCGCGGCGTGGCTGTGGTTGACGAGGCGGGCGAGGCCGAAGTCGCCGAGCTTGGCGTTGAACGACGAGTCCAGCATCACGTTGCTCGGCTTGATGTCCCGGTGCACCACGCACTGCTCCCACTCCTGGTGAAGGTACAAGAGAGCAGAGCCCATGCCAAGAATGATGTTGTACCTGACGCCAAAAAAAAAAAAACTTCTTGAAGTTTTAAAAAACTAGTAATACCATCAATTGAACAGACCAATTCTTTTTTTTTTTTTGCGAATTAGACCAATTCATTTGACTGATAATGTTCATACCTGACTGGCCATGTTAGAATGTCACTCGTGCTGTAGAGATGGTCGTCGAGGCTGCCGTTCGTCATGAGCTCGTACACGAGCAGGAGCTCGTCGGCCTCGTGGCACCACCCAACAAGCTGCACAAGGTTGCGATGCCTGAGACGGCCTATGATGGTCACCTCGGAGATGTACTCCTTCCTCCCTTGCCTCGACGTCTTGGAGACCCTCTTGATGGCTACATGGAGCCCCTGGTCCTGCAGGTACCCTCGGTAGACTGATCCGAAACCGCCCTCACCGAGCTTCTCGTCGTCGGAGAATCCGTGTGTCGCCTGTGACAATTGGCTGTAGGTGAATCTCCGAGGCCCTGTCCTCTTCTCAAACTCATCGTTCATGTCTTCGTCGAGAGGAATCTTTGTGCCTTCTGGTGCCTCTTGTATTTGTTTCGCACTCTGTCTTTTTAGGTATCTGCGATAGCCGAGGCACACCGCAACGACAAGCAGTAGTACGACGATCCCGGTGGGTACCAGTCCGGCTATTAGGCTTATGTTTTTCGTCTTTGTAGTTTTGTTTTCTGTCATTTACAAGCACATTAAATTAGATGCCTAAAGTTCAAATAGTACTGTAGTTACATAACCACAAACTCAACTGCAGATCCTACAAAAAAATTGCATATCATTCACTGATGAGCAACGTAATCACATAACCACGAAGTCCAATTGGGCCCCCGAAATTGTCGCTGAATTTAGAAAACACCTCCAACTCGAAGACCAGAAAACGTACCTCCATAATTCAAAATCAGATAAAAACCTCTCTAAAATAGTTTAGAGTGGTTTCCATGGCGTGGTTTTGGCTAATGTAGCACGTGGATACCACATTTCTTTGGTTTGAGCATTTCGGCTCCTAAATGATATCAAATTAAAATATTTTCAACTACAAAGTTTTAGATCTCTTCAAGAACTTCTAATTTGGAATAGAGCGTCTCCACCAAGGTCCGATTAAAAAATTCAAAATTTTGAATTTTATAATCAAAGAACTTTGTACCTCTAAACAAATATTTGGACCTCTAAACAAATAAAAAAGTTTATAACGACAAAGTTATAGATGACATTGAGGTCTATAACTTTAGTATATACCTTGTCAATGTACGAGATAATTTGAAAAATTCAAACAAAATGGATTTTCAAATCTGAGAAATTAAAATAAATATTTGGTGTTCTAAATGATCTCACAAGAATGTTGTCAACTACAAAGTCGTATATGCCATGTAGAGCTACAAATTTGGTGTATATCAAATATCATTCATGTCAACGTCCAAGGTTGATTAAAAAATTGAAAAGTTTTGAATTTCAAAATCTGGAACCTTAAAACAAATATTTGGGCCTCTAAACAATATCGGATAAAAGAAGTTGTCGACAACATAATTGTAGATCACATTAATTAGATGTACAGTTTTGGTATAGACCGTGCCAACATCCTAGGTTGTTTCAAAAAATAAAAAAAATCAATTTTAAAATATGATAATTTAAAATAGATATTTGATCATCTAAAAGATATAAATAAAAATGTTATCAACTACAAGGTTGTAGATCGCATTGATCTCTATAATTTTGATATAAAATTTATATTCAACTGACTTCATATGAAAAAATTATGTTTTTTTACATAAAAGACATAGAGTGGCCATTTAACACGTGGGCTCCGCCGCCACATCATAAAATCATCGAGAAACCACTTTGGAATGGTCAAGTAGAGTATTATATCTAGATTTGAAAGTCGGGGTGTATATGTTGTTTGGTATTAAGTTTTTCTTTTAATTTAGTCAAGGGGTAAATCGGACTTTACTCAAAAAATGATGGACACACTAACATACTCCCTCCATACTATAAATAAATTATAAGATGTTTGTTTTTTTGATACATTGTTTTTCTATATATATTTAGACATAATATATCTAATAATAAGTGCATAACAAAAACTATGGATGTAGATAAAACGTCTTACAATTTGAAATCGAGAAAATAGTAAATTTGATTTGATGCATATCCACGAAAAGTTTTGTAGACGCTTATGAAAATTGCACATTATTCACTGAACATACAGGTTTGTCGAGAGATTTTGCATAAAACGCATGTGCATTTTGGTGATAATAAAATTTGTTCCCAGATTATTTATTTGATTTCAGAAAAGCAGTACATTATGTTCGTGGACCACGTAAGATCCAACTACTGACCAATGTGAAACGGTAAATAAAGATAGTCATGATGAAGAAATTTCCTTTTTTTTTTCTATAGACAGGGATAGACACTTACCGGTCTTGTTGACGACGGCGACGCTGGTGAGAGTGGACTCGAACGACCAAGAAAGAATCTGGTGGCGTTCGATGAAATCCCCGGTGGCTCCCGAGAACCCGACCGCCGCGTCCGGCGGCAGCCCGGCGTCCTTGAAGTCGACGATTGCGCTGACGTTGTAGAGGCCCAGCTCCGGCAGATCGTCGAAGCGAAGGGCCACTGACAGCGTGCTCATGTCGGTTTCGTATCTGACCCACGCCGACATGGTCCCGTTGAAGCTCCCGTCCGGCAGCGCCACGTACGCGCGCGACGTGATGCTCTTGACGTCCACGCCAAGATGGTTCACGGTGTTGTTGGGGTCCCAGTCGTTCCTGAACGGGTCGAACTCCACGGCGACGGTCGGCGGGAAGACGGCGTTGGCCGTGTTGTTGGGGTTGTTGAAGAGACCGAGGAAGCCGCCTCTGGAGTCCCCCGGCAGGTTTGGCGGCCACGGCCCGACGTAGAACGCCATGCCGTCGGCCTGCACTGCGCAGCAAGTCTCACATCTAACGAGAGCTGGTGCGAACATCGAGAAAGCTTAATTAGAAGTTCTTTGGATAGTTAAGTTGCCTGGTTGGTGCTGTTGTGCGGCTTGATAGCGAGGGTGAAGTTGGAGGTGAAGCTGGCGACGTTGCCGGTGTCGTCCCAGAGCTGCAACGGCTGCCCGTACGCCACACGGCCGGTGCTCCAGATCGTGTCGTTCGTCAGGTCGATCCGATCGCTGCCAGGAGTGGCGTCAGACATGTACTTGATGTTAGCGCTGTTGAGGACGCCGGGGATGGAGAAGTTGTAGTCGAAGCTAAGCGAGGTGACATGGGCAACACAGACACAGAGCAGGTAGGCGAGGCTGAGGAGGAGAGGAGGGCTCTTGGAACCCATAACCATGGCCATGGCAGGTGGCTGGCTACTACAGCTCTTTGTGCAAGTATATGGTCACAGATATATCTATCAACCTAGCTAGGCTGTAGGTGGTTGGTTCCTGCAGACCAGGGGTCGTCGTTTCGTCGCCTTTGGTCTCCGTCTGCAATCGGCCGGCTTGAATTTTTGAATTAAAACAAAATAAAACTAATTCGGCCGGCCGTACGGTCTGTGGGTAGCTACGTCGCACATGATTATATTATCTCCAAATGATCTGCGCACCCGGCCGGAGCCAGGGGAGAACCATCTGCGCGACTTCAGGAAACCAACTCCGCAACCATCGATAGCAATCAAACGCATTGGAGGAGCGTGAGCGTCGACCTTGGCAGGATCGTCGCACACGCATCATGCGCCGTCGTCATCGGCCCAGGGAGTGCCTCAGTCTACATACAAATGGCGAAATGGGCGACAAGAAAGCTTTTGATAAAGAAAATATCATGGATCTCTTCAATCTACCTTTATCCCAAGTGGCCTTTGATCAAGTTCTAAGCATCCAACAAGTAATGGAAAATTCAACACGAGAAGAACAGAATAATGATGCTTGGACATACTCTGGAGGATCAGCAAAGTTCAGACCTGCAACAACTTACAAAAAGAAAAAATGCTTGGGCATCATGAAATTGACCCAGCCTTTAAATGGCTATGGAAATCATATTGTCAACCAAAACACAAGGTCTTTTATTGGTTACAGCTAAAAGATAACTAAGCACAAGGAATATCCTTAGAAGGAAAAATATGGCCTTGATTCATATAACTGTGAAATCTGCTCCCTCATGGTGGAAAAAACTGTTGAGCATCTATTTTGGCATTGTCCTTTTGCTCAGCAATGTTGGGGAATTTTAAACTTGAACACAATTCAGGCATGGGGAACTTTTAAAAATGTGATAGCAATCAAAGATCAAATGCAGAGTCAGTTCTTCATGGTGGCTGTCATTCTCATGAGCTGGACAATTTGGTGGGCTAAGAATGAATTGATCTTCAACAATAACCAAGTTGGGACTCAGGACTGCAAAAAAAAAAAAAATCTTCAGAGAAGCAAAAAAAAATTCTTCAGAGAAGCACAGCTAGTTTGTCAGCAATCTTCGACCAATGGATCCAAAACCTGTAATTGATCAAAGCCTTAGGCTCATTTTCTTTGTTTCTTAAAGCTGTCTTGTCTTGTGTTGTACTATTTTTAGCCCTCCTCCTGCTCTAGTTTGCTCCTTAGTTTGTAGTTTGTACTTTGGTTAAATTTTAATAAAAATCTATAGGGGCCTCGGCCCCTCCAGTTCCCTAAAAAAAATGGGCGACACGAGGCACGGCCAGATGTAAGTCGTGCTCGTGCAGTGCCAGCATAGTCCAATAGTTAGTGTCATATGCTTGGGCCGCTAAGTCAACCCGTAGTGCCGGCATGAGCATGACCTATTTAATAACTGATCCGTTAAGAGTACACTCTATGAAAACCTTACGTATATATAAAATAACATTGAATTCCTAACTTTTTGGTTGCTGCCCCTACTCTTCTGTTCGCCCTCTACGAACCTTCGCTCCCTCTAACGTCTCCCCGCTCTAGTACCTCATGTGACTCAATCCACAAATCTACCTCTTCCCTTCCAACTCTGTACACTCTCCTTTCCTCTCCACTCTGTCGATTGCACCCACGGCCGATGGTCGCTCAACTCCTCCATGGTCGGCGGTTGCTCCCCTTCCCAGTCCGCACTCCATCCGCCACTGCGTCGAGGCCTAAGGTCGCTCGCCTCCTCCGACAACATCGCCTATTCGTGCCTTGAATCTTTTTTCCTCTCCTCCTCCATCCTCCTAGGGCGAGCAAGGCCAAGGCGTATGCCGCGCGGGGGCGCGGGGCAAAAGCGACAGTGAGCACTTTGCAACGGGCGAGATAACAAGATCCGACAAGTTCTCTCATTTATTTTTGAATCTGTGACTTTCTGATTGATTTGTCAACATATAAAGGATTTGTAGTAGTCTCATGATGTTTTTTATTTTACTTCTCATTTTTTGGGCATGTTTTATGTTCATCGAGCTGGCATAGGCTAGTGGACTAGACAGGCTATCGTGCTCGTACAGGCACGCACAGCTAAGTGGTCATAGTGTCGTGCTTGGGCTCGTTGTTGAGCCCGTGGGCAACACGACAACACACGTTTAGCTAATCGTGCTCCTTAGCGTCGTGCCTGAACGAACTAGTACCGTGTTGGGTCATGCCACCCATTTGGCCATCTTCATCTTCTTGTACCTCCATGTGGAGAAAAAACCTACATCATGTAGTGACATAAGATTTGTTTGGGAGAGCTCCAGCTTTGAAAACACGAAACTAGAACAAGTAACTCCATCATAGAGTAGCTCCACTCTGAAGTTGGCCTTCTATCATAGAGCCGATACACCTCTTTTGCTTGAATGTCATCTCTAGACTCAAGAAATAAAGGTTTTGGTGGAAATGACCACTTCTACCCTTAGGAGGTTGCATGTTAGATGTTTTGACATACTCCCTCAGTCCCATAATAGGTAAGTTTCTAAAAAATTTCAAGCAGATTAAAGACGTTGGCAAAAGACACATGTACCCTCATTTTCTTTCCTTCTCAAAGGATATCTCTTAGATTTAGCAGTTGTCGTTTGCATGTATCCAGGATTAGCTTCTGTATTAGAAGGCAATGTTCCATATTTGTGTAGAATGTTATTTATTTTGGGACAAATTTTAAACGTTAGAAAGTTATTTATTTTGGGATGGAGGGAGTATCTAGCATGAGTGATTCATATTGGTTTAAAAGAACTTTGTATTTAATTTTTTTGGTTTACCATTTAATGAATACATTAGTTGCAATGTTTGACCCACAAAGGTTATGAGATGAACAAATTATTACATATTAATTGGACTTGACCCATTTTTTATCCAATTAAAATCAAATAAATCCTAAGCCTCGTATTAAATGCTAGGTATATTAAAGTTTTAATCCGTGAGTCATAACAATAATACACCATAAACGAACTTATCATTCCTATTTGCATTCCATCAGATTCCTCAAGCAGCAGCCAACAACGCATCCAAGTTCGATAGCTACTAACCAACTACTGACGCTACAACTGAAATTACAAAAGAGATAGATGCATGTGTCACTCTTTAAACCATTGACGCACTAAGCTAGAACTACATGTTATCATCGTACCCATCCGGCAGGGGAATCGCTGCAGCAAGTTCGATCTCTTTGTCAATCCTGCATGCCATGAAAAACATTACGTGATCAGAGAAGCACTCAGCGTTATCATAAACAATGTATATGAAGCATGGTAAATCGTTGTCGTCGTCACTCGTCAGGTACATGTTTGCTTTAATAATGACTTAACTTTTGTTGCGCAGCAACGTCGATGGTCACGTCAGCAGGGACGAGGGCTATCTCTTCGACGAACTTGAGGTCCATGTTCCTGCATTTACAGTCATGCATCAGATTACCATTCGTTTGGTGTCGCTATAGCATATGCATTGCAATAAAGAGAGAGTCGGGCAGATGTATAGGAGTGGTACAATGTTGATTTGCTACAGAATGATGACAATACCCACCCTGCGATCTTCCTTGTAAGGTAGAGAAAACGCTTCTCAAAGTAGTACTCCTTCCTGTGGTAAGTCTGTTAGAAATATAGGCAAATTCAAGTTTAATTTAATCCGTAAAAGAGAGATAAACAAAATACTCATGATATCATATATGTGCTTGTTCAAATGAGACATCTCCATGGATATTAAAATAGTGCTAACCAGTGAGACATGATACATATTATTGTCCGAATAAATCATGACCATCATATAGTTAACACTAACCAGCAAGATTGTAATAGAGATCATATAATTAACAAGACGGGTAAAGTGATTATACCCTGCAGCAGAGCCGGATGCACCAAACATGATGCATGTCGTTGTAGTCGTCCCGCTCGATGCAGTGAAGAACGGAAGCCGTGCAGATCACCCGATGAAGACGAACAGCAACTCATGGCGGAAACAGGGAGGGGACGAAGCGAGTAGTCGTGCCGCTTGCGGACACCCCCCAAAAACGTGATGGCCGCCCTTCACCCGAGCAGATGAACTCGATGAGCGGAGACGTTCCGGAGGCTCTACTCTTCCATCTCGTGTGCGCGCAGGAGACGGAACGGGAAAACTTTTTTTTAGACAGCGAGAACTTTTGGTTTTCGTAGTAATCGCCAGGAAAAAAATTGGACCAGGCGATGGAGTTAGGAATATATCCCACATACGGATGGGAAGGCCAGCGGACTCAGGAAGGCTAGGAGGTAGCAGAGAGATACGATGAATGCTAGAGAAGGAAACTCCTGTATTCATTTGTCAATTAATTAATGGAATGAAAAGACCTTCTGTAACTTACGTAATCAAGAATTCTAATTGGCAAGATGGAATACTGAATGCTTGTTGCCTTCCTGCATGCCTAGTCACGTCCAAGGCCCAGCCGATCACCAGCCTCATGTGCCTACGGTTGGTCCATATCACATATTGGTACTAAACCAATAAATATTATTTAATACAAATCATAGAGTTTATTAATTATTGTATATATTATG